AAACAAGGAAGGTCATTGTAACGGATGCTCTGCAGATGTCGCGCTCCAGTTATGTAGCGCTAAACAACGTGAAGCCTTTTAAACTAGATTTCCTTAAACTGATCTAGAAATGGTGCTCCAACAGTATTTTGTATTTCTGTACAACACCTTCTGAACTTCTTCCTTTCTGGGCTGGGAACAGAGGCCAAGGCACAGGCTGAGGCAGCAGAACGAGAGCGAGAGCTCCAGAAGCAGCAGATGGCTGAGCAGCAACAGAAGATGGAGGATCTGAAACGGAGCTACGAGATGAACCGTCAGGAGCTGGAGGAGAAAATGAAGAGAGAACGGGAGTTGCTACTGGAGGAGCGGCAGAAGATGATAGAAAGCAAACTTGCTGTAAATATCCTAGGCCTGTTTAGTATCTGGGGCTGAGCCACCCTCCCCGCATGCTTTCAGCTTCTTGGCTCGATGTACAGTGCTGCCCCACATAGCGACGATAATCCGTTCCGGAAAAATCGTCGCTATGTGGAATCGTCACTATACGGAACGAAAAAGCCCATAGGAATGCATTAAAACCCGTTTAATGCGTTCCTATGGGCTTAAAACTCACTGTTATGCGAAAATCCTCCATCTGGCCACCATTTTTGCTGTCCAGTAAGTAAGGAAAGGGCGCAAAAACACAGCGGGCAGCCATTTTTTCCCTGGCGGCCATTTTGGAACCCCCGATCAACTGTTGGAAAAAGATCGCTATGCGATAATCGGTAAGCGAAACAGCTTACCGATCATTGCAAAGCGATCTTTTGCCATTAAAAACATCGTTATGCAATCGCAAAAGCGATCACAAATTCTTATTCGCTATGCGGATTCTTCATTAAACGGGGCGCTCGTTAAGCGAGGCGCCACTGTATTTGTTTTCTGTGAGGAGCTGAAGAAACAGAATGCCATCAATTCAAAGGAGTGGTTTTTTGCTTCCGTGACTAGACCATACCTCTGCCTCTCATGTATGTTTTTGAGCAGGCTGTGTTTCATGCAGTGGCATAGTGTGGGGCACGGCAGAGGGTTGGTTGCCCCAGACCACAACGTTGTTAGGGACGCAATTGCTGCCCTTTCGCACCCCTGCACTCCATTTTCCCACAGGTGTTTTTTGAATGGGTGCATCAACTGTAAGACAGGCTTCTCTTGTGGCAGCCATTTCCTGAGACTGATCATTCCAGGATTGGCCCTCAAGCCGCAGAGGATTGGACGAAATCTTTGCTGTTGAGGGAGCGTGAGGATGGACAGCTTCCCTGGTCCTCAGGGTGGGGGCAAGGTACTGAAAGCATCTCTCAGAGCAAAGGCTTCTGCTCCTATAGGCAGTCACTCAGCATGATTTCCCTTCTTGTACCAGAAACATGGGTTGCTCCCTTTCTCACGCCCCATTTTGGCATTCCTCTCACACATGGTCAGAATCGTGTGAGGAGGCAACATGTTGTCTGGTTTCAGCCCCTCGAGTCTTCCAGACACTCGGCGCCATCTCCTTCCACTCATGGAATGGGTAACTTGTGCAACAGAGATCTTGTCCCACTCTTTTAAGCTTCTAAATCACATGGAAGACCTACAGAAGTTGGGCACTTTCTCGAATTCAAAAGGGATCTCTCTAAGGCCCAGAGGGTGAAAAAGCCTGAGCAATCGGAAGAGGGTGGTGGAGGAGGAAGGGCCAGTGAATGGATCCTTACCTTCCCTGCCCTGTGTCTCAACATTTGTGTAGTGGCAGGAGGGCAAATGTTTGAACATGACCTGGGTCTCCTTCCAAGACTGGAGATGTTCTCCAGCAGAGAGCTGTCCAGCGCTTAGAGAGGATCTTAACTGAAATTATGTACCACTTCACTTTTAATCTAATAATTCCGCTGCCATTTCTGTTTCCAGGAGCAAGAGGCTCTGCTGAGAGGAGGATTCGAGAAGGAAACTAGGCGACTGAATGAGGAAATTCAACATCTGCAACAGGAAAATTCAAAAATCAAGGAGCCATCATGGGTGGCCTCTCTTGTAGGAGGACTGTTGAGTGTTGCCTCGCTGTTTATACCACCGCTTAGACTTTTAAAACGCTTTTAAACAAATGGGAATGGGCCCTTTCTTGGCTGCTATTCTTCCTGTTTCCTGTCCTCATTATATCTGCTATGTATGCCATAAATGTATTTTAATGCTTTCTGACAGTATTGTTTATTTGTATTGTATTATTTTACATTTTTGTCCTGTTTAATTGGTATTTTGATTATACTGCTCTGTGTCTTTGTTGTAAACCGCCTAGAGTGGCCCTCGGGCAGATGAGTAATATAAAAATTAAATGAATGAATGAATGAATGAATGAATAAAAAAAATAACTAGATGGACAGATATCGATGGATAGACTGAGGCAAATGGCCGGAGGCAAGAAATGTAAGAAATTTCAGGGAGAGACAGGAGTCCTATGGATTGGATATCAGTCTGGATCAGAGAACAGATTTGTGCTTTCCATGTCCGTTTGTTAGTGCAAGAACGCGGAGAATCAGCAGAGTAACTTCTGGTCCAGGTGGTTAAATGAATCACATGCAGACAAACAGCATCTCCAGCACCAGATGTGTTTTACAAGCTATATATGCATAACGTCGAATTCGCTTTACGATGAGGTTTTCAGAGCGATCTTGCGCTTCATTTAACAATGTTTCCTATGGGTGATTTTCGCTTTACGATGTTAGAGACCTTGCCTCACAAGACGGTTAAATTTTAGGTCTCTGTTTTTCACTTTACGATATTTTTGCTAGCTTGGTCTTGCTTCGCTATGCGAGTCTTTTAATGGTCTCTGTTTTGTTAGACGGCTGTCTTCGCTTGGGAACCGCGCTTCACTTAACGATGTTTCCTATGGCAATTTTCGCTTTACAATGACAATCCGTTCCTATTGGAATGGATTATCAGGTTTTCAATGCATTCCAATGGGAAAATGTGTTTCGCAAGACGATGTTTTCGCTTAACAGCGATTTTCACGGAAAGAATTAACATCGTCTTGTGAGGCACCACTGTACAGAAGTGCAGACTGGCAGCATAACAGCATGACACTCATCAGGAAGAAGAAGAATACATCTCCTGTACAGAGTCCACATATATACTTATTCACAGCTATCTGTGTCGAATCATATTAGATATTGCATCGTACATAAGTCAGCACTTTGAGTTGTCGTGACTCAGCATTACAGCACACCTGTTCAATATGGTTGCTCATTAAGACACTTTGTACTGCTCAGGCCTGTAAATTTTACCTGGACACCGTTGTTTGGTAATACTGTATACAGTCCTTCCAGCAGTACCTGGGCCCTTTTTAAATACTTTGAATAGACACAACTGAGGGCGTCAGAGTAGTTGAAGCTCCCAGAGGAGTGTGTTTGTGTGAGACAGGTGTTTGCCCATGTCTTGTGCTCATCTAAACAGGGACGTCTATAAAACTGGCCTTTGAGACCTTCTGGGCTTATCTGGGACGTCCTACCATCTTCATGCCAGCCAGCCCTACTGTAGGCATCACACAATAAGAAAAACCAATCATGGAAAGCTTTGTGTAGAGGCGAAAGAAAATAAAAATGAAAGCAGAATGACTGAAAGAAAAAAAAATTGAGGATGAAAGAATAGCAAAATATGGCTTCTCCCTCGGTTGCAGCTTTTCCAATACATATAGCAGACATACAGCATTAAGCAATGTAAGTAAAAACTAGAGTAGGCCTTATCAGTAGACATTCCTCGGCGCAGGTTTTTCTCTCTCTTCCCTGCCAAGAAGTTGGAGATGGGTCGGACCTTGTGTGCCAGGAACCCGGGAATGTAATCTGTCAGGAGGTCAGAGGCCAGCATGCCTGCCTGCTTCCCTTCAAGTTAATGACTGCCTTTTATCCATTTTTCTCCTTTGATCTAGATGGTGGGGGTATTAGTCCAATAAAATAAATAAAGAAATACAATAAATTGTGTGTATCTTATTATCTTGTGTATCTTAAAATGATTTTGACTAACTGCTAAAACTGCTCAGGATCTGGGGTTCAAATCCCAGGTAGCCGGCTCAAGGTTGACTCAGCCTTCCAGCCTTCCGAGGTCAGTAAAATGAGTACCCAGCTTGGTGGGGGGGGGGCAATGTGTAGCCTGTATAATTAAAAAAAATTGTAAACCGCCCGGAGAGTGCTTGTAGCACTATGGGGCGGTATATAAGTCCAATCAATCAATCAATCAATCAATCAATCAATCAATCAATCAATCAATCAATCAATCAATAAATACTTAAAAACAACAACTTGAAAGTGTACTTTGAATTAGATGTTTTTCCAGCATGGAACTGAGAGAGTTGCATTCTATGCAAATTCCTGAAGTGATTACTCTTAAGGTGGCACCCATTTTGCAAGGCCAGCCAGAGAGTAGGTGATGGGAAATGAGGAGGATTTCTGTGGTCATTTGAAGCAATGGGGAAAATCTATTTCCAGAAAAGATAAGGAGGTAGTTTGGGAAACATCTGCAGTACAAAGGACACAGGGCTAAAAAAATGTGCCTAGAGCCCCAGCCATAAGCACAGAGAGGCCTCCCTCAGACAGCAGATCTGAGGCATCATTAAATGGCAGCCTCAGCATTGCTATTGTCGTTATTTTTATTGCTGGGTTGAGAAAGGAGACCTGCACTGAGGATTTTGGGCCTCTCATGCCAGAGTCACCTTAGCTGCCATTTTGTTAGGCTACAGCCCTTGAAACGGATGGGACCATGGCCTAAACATCTTGGTTTACTTTAGCCTCTGGCGTCCCTCAGTTTCTGAAGTCCCTGCTTGCAGGCTTCTTCCCATCTGTCACAGCTACTCGAGGAAAGTATTGCAGGGTGAGGGTGTGAAGGGCAAATGAGATGAAGCTACAAAGATCTAACAGTACGAACCTCCTTCCATGCCTCTAAACTGCAGTTTGCTGTGCAGGGAATTAGCAACTGAAATGTTTCATACCTGTCCTCAGGGAACGGCAATTGGCCACAGAGACAAGTTCATTGCGTCTCTAAAGTCCTAAACAGAGATCAAGGCTTTCTTGCACCTGACACATCTATTAACAACCCAGCTTGAGGCAATATCTTACTGATATCATATAGTTGCCCCCTTCAGCCGTTGCTGATCTCTTAGCATTTCTGTGTCCGTCAAATCCACATGGCATACAGTTTATCACCTTGGTTATAGCCTATGGCTTCAAGTAATTAATATGGATAGTCTCCTTCCTGTGTTCCTGAAGGCACTGCCACATCACCCGTTACGCCCTGTCACCCTTGGCCATGCCACCCCCCCGCCACTGAGTCATATGTGAGGACAAAAGACCATTGCCCTCGTTTCTGAAGACCTACAAATAGTAGTAGGCATCCTTCAGCTATGAGAGACTATGGTAAAGTGCTCTGTATGGAACAGCATCTAGTGTGGCTGAGAAGGCCAATTCGAGAGTAACACAATCCCTTCCACACTGAAGACAAATACAATCTGTCCCCTGTCCAGCTCCCTGATTTTGCTGCTTTCGTGACTTCCTCTTTGCCTCGGCCTGCTGGACAAGGGTCTCTTCAAATTGGGAGAGGCCACGATGCAGTGCCTGCCTCCAGGCTGAACGCTCAGATGTCAGGGTTTCCCATCTGTTGAGGTCCATTCCTAAGGCCTTCAGATCCTGCTTGCAGATGTCCTTCTATCGCAGCTGTGGTCTCCCTCTGGGACTCTTTCCTTGCACTAATTCTCCATACAAGAGATCATTTGGAATCCAACCATCAGCCATTCTCACGACACCAAAGTAGTGAATTACAGCAACCATGAAAGAAATCTATTCCGTCCTTAAAGAGCCACCGCATTTTCTTTTCTTTTGGTTCTCCTCCCTTTTTTTGGGACAGACACCACCACCAATAATAATAATAACACCCAACCACTTCCAGCTCATTGCACCCTGCAGCAGAGAGAGACGTTTCTCAGAAAGACGGCTCTGTGGGTCAGGATGACGTGGGAAGGGCTTTCCGGGGTGAAACTTGACCCTCAACTTTTCTGCACGTCCGGAGGTTGCAAAAAAAAAAGTGGGGGATAAAGACTTCCCACGCTGAGCCTTCAACTGAACGAGAGCTTCAGTGGCTCCTTTCCTGGGGAGATCCTTCTTAGGTGCGGGAATCTGCAGGGAAGGCGCTGGCGTGCCATTCCCTCCGAGGCTCGAGCGCCTTTTCCTAGAAAAAGAGGAGGATGCCGGATCCTTTCCCCCTCTCCTGCCCTTCAACCGGGTTCCAACAGCGAATGGTTTCATCTGCTCAGAAGAGAGCTGATTTCCCGGCAGTGGGTTGCATTGCTTCCTATTTTTGGAAGGCAGACTCCCTACTTTCACTTTCGATCTCCAGCTGTTTAGCAGCCGACCTATGCGCGCGAGGCGGGGCTGGTGGATTTCCTGCCCGGGTTCCTGTAGGAGAATAGCCGGCTGCGGACTCTCGCTTGCTCGCCCAAACACCGAAGAAGTTGCAGAGCCTAACCCAGCTTGTGGGACGTTATCCCCACGATACGCATCTTCCAGGAGATCTTGACTGTCCGTCATCCTCCAGAAGGTAAGCCGATCGTGGTGTAAAAGGGTCAAGACATCATCTGAACTGCATGAAGATGCCAGCTGTTCTTTTATGGGTATGTTCTCGTGGGTAGGTTTAGAATGGAAATGAATGTCCTTCCATGGAAGGAGTAGGATTATCTTATTTAGTTCCCAGCCCGACTGACACAGGAAATGTGAATTTACTTAAAAAAAACACAACAACCCACAATTTTCCATTATAGCAGCTCCTTGCTTTGTGTTTCCCCAGGAGTTAAAATACAGTAATGCTCCACAGAATGGAGCATGTAATATTGTTGTAGACAAACATGCCAGCTTGTTAAAGTTATGATGTTTTGGATGTTTTTATGATGTTTGTTATATTATGTTTTTATCATGTATGTAAGCCGCCCCGAGTAGACTTTGTCTAGGGGGGCAGGGTAAAAAGCTAATAAAAGTAAAGTAAAGTAAAGTTTTTCCTCCTCCTTTGCTTTTGCTGGGCTGGGCAGAAAGAAGTGGGGGTGGGTTGATTCCCAGAAGCCGGTCATCCGGAGGAGGAAGGGTTAAGTCTTCTCTGCTTTGCTTTTGGTTTATCCATGTGTTATGCAACCAACAACAGGATGGAACTGGGAGGGCAGTTTTCAAGAATGAGATGAGCAACGGGTGGGTCTTCAGGTGTTCTACTCCAGTTCCCATCAGCCCCAGCCAGTGTGGCCATTACCCTGGGATGCTGGAAGTCTGTAGCCAAGAAAAGCAAGAGGGCTGCGGGTCTTAGTATCTCATTTATCCCATCAGCCCCAGCCAGTGTGGCCATTATCCTGGGATGTTGGAAGTCTGTAGCTAAGAAAAGCAAGAGGGCTGTGGGTCTTAGTATCTCATTTAAGAACATGCCTCCCCCGCCCCCCCCCCCCCCAAATAGAGGTGTTTTGTGCATTGCCACAGATTAAGATTTTCGGAATTAAAACTCAAACGATCATCCAAATAAAACTGATTGAGTGATACTCCAAAAAAAAAAAAATTTAAATCTGTGTAAAATGGACATTTCCAGAGAAGTGGGCGTGGTGGTAGTCTCTGTTGTGTTGGCAAAAGAAGAGGAAAAAAGAAGGGAAAAGCTTCAGAGGATGGGTGTCTCACACAGAGACGCCCATTTTATGCATGGGGAAGAGAGAGAAAGGAAAGGGGGGGAAGAGGAAAAATATTGTAGCACTTTAAAGATTTAGCAGTGTAATATCTGCCTGAGTTTTCTGTGGATCACAGTCCACTTTCTAAGGCTTCACTGATCCACCAAAGCAGAATATGAAATAAGACAATTTTTAAAAATGTTACAATGTTATGTTTCCCCATCTTTTGTTTGTTTCTTGATAACAGGTTGAATGTATATCTCTTTTTCTAGTTTGCTTGTCAATATTGGCCTCAGAACTGCATGCATACCTTGCAACCAGACGAACAAAGATCTCCTTGGGTACACAGACCTGAGATACGGAGCAGCTTATGTTTAACAAGGGTGGAACCTAGTTTGTTATTGTCCCACATCCTCTTTACCCTCATTTTAGAACTGCAGAGATGGAAGGCACCCTATGGATCATCAAGTCCACCCCCTATCAAGGAGGCACAGTGGGGATTTGAACTCACAACCTCGGGCTCCACAGCCAGAGACCTAAACCACTGAGTTATCTAGCAGTTCACATTAGGCTATCTGTAGCCCATCTCCCTCCTGCCTGCTTCCTTATCTGAGATGGAGGGTTGGGGCCCTGGCGGAGTTCCCTCTTATGAAATTCCCTTTGTAACAGTAAATGTGATCGAACACAAGGGAACAAGGCGTTGCTTCCTGTCTTCAGTGGTGAGAAAACATATGTCCCTCACTCCCTGGTTCCTATCCAAATACTGGGAATCTGAAGTTCATTTCCTGCTGGCTTAACACAATGATGGGCACCTTGAAATGTCAATCCACCGGGATTGAACTCAGGTTGTGAATAGAGTCTTGGCTGGAGTACAGTGGTACGTCGCTTAACGATTGCCCCGCATTACAACAAAACTGCATTACGACAATCTTTTTGTGATCGCAATTGCGATCGCAAAAGGATGGTCTAAATGGTTTTTTTTCACTTTGCGATGATTGGTTCCCTGCTTCGGAAAACGACGATTTCAAAACAGCTGATCAGCAGTTTCAAAATGGCTGCCGGGTAAACAAAATGGCTCCCCGCTGTTTTCTGGGACGGATTCCTCGCAAGACAGGCAGCGAAAACGGCTGCCCTATGGAGGATCTTCGCTGGACAGTGAGTTTTGACCCCACTGGAACGCATTGAAAGGGTTTCAGTATGTTTCAATGTTTTTTTTTTTTTTTTTGCTTTACAATGTTTTCGCTCAGCGGCGATTTTCCTGGAACGGATTATCGCCGTTAAGCGAGGCACCACTGTACTGCAATTTAACCACTGAGCCATGAGGCACACACACACAAACCCATCCAAATGTACACTTCTGTTCGGTTAGTGTCATCGTAGCCTTTGTTATGGGCTTGGCTGTTTCTCTTCCACAGATCATCCGTCTTGGACGCCATGGCATCTGAAGTTGTTCACATGGCAGCTCCTGTCTGCCTGATTGAGAACAGACCAGACGGGACCCTTGTGATTCGAGAAAAGGCTGCCGTGTCCCTTGCACAGATCCGCCAGCCGGTGGTGGTGGTGGCCATCGTGGGCCTGTACCGCACCGGCAAGTCCTACCTCATGAACAGACTTGCTGGGAGGAGAAAAGGTGGGGTGTGTGTTTCTCAAATACTACCTCGTCCCGTAGAGAAAAGGGATTGCACTTGGCTGCTTAACATCCTGTCGTCCTGTCGGGAATAAGGAGGTGATCTCCAGCACAGTTTTGTGCTTAACCGAGGGAGAAAAGAGCAGGAAGAAATATTATTAGAACTAATAATACAGTAGCAACAACCATAGCAATATTATATATAACAATACTGTATACTGTATATGTTTGTATGTGTGTTTATATGATATGATACGATGTTTTTTAGTCGTGTCCGACTCTTCGTGACCCCATGAACCAGAGCACGCCAGGCCTTCCTGTCTTCCCCTGCCTCCTGGAGTTGGGTCAAATTCATGTTGGTTGCTTTGATGACCCTGTCCAGCCATCTCCTCCTCTGTCGTCCCCTTCTCCTCTTGCCTTCACACTTTCCCAACATCAGGGTCTTTTCCAGGGAGTCTTCTCTTCTCATGAGATGGCCAAAGTATTGGAGCCTCAGCTTCAAGATCTGTCCTTCCAGTGAGCACTCAGGATTGATTTCCTTCAGAACAAATAGGTTTGTTCTCCTTGCAGTCCAGGGGACTCTCAAGAGGCTCCTCCAGCACCACAGTTCAAAAGCATCAATTCTTCGGCGGTCATACTTCTTTATGCTCCAGCTCTCACTTCCACACATCGCTACTGGAAAAACCATAGCTGTGATGATACTATATTACAATAGTAATATATTTTACATGTACACTGCCCAAAATAGTACCATGTATTAATGGGGTGGTATATAAATCCTGAAACATAAATCTGAACAAACTCGGGAAGGCAGTGGAAGACAGGAAGGCCTGGCGTGCTCTGGTCCATGGAGTCACGAAGAGTCCGACATGACTTAATGACTAAACAACAACAACAACATAAATCTCAGACATAAAAAACCCCGAACATTAGTGTACATTGAGCATTGAAAGGATGCAACCAAAACGATGGCTTCATGCTCAAAGGTCTTACAATTTAAATTTCGTTAGAAAGCAAGCACACATAGGATCAACATGAGCAAATACAATCAAACTCTCTTCATGTCTTTAGTGTTAATTTACAGGAATTGTTTCACATAGGGATAGGCCATAGAAGTTAAGGCTAACTAGCTGAGCAGTTGAAGAAGTCTTAAAGCCTGCTGTTAGACGTGATTATCCAGAAGTAGGTCTTGGTGAGTTCAGTGAATATTAGCTCCGAGGAACCGTGCCCGAGATTTCAGCCTCTGAATTTTCTCTGAATCGGTGCGTGTTCCTCCCGCAGGTTTCTGCTTGGGTGCCACGGTGCAGGCGATGACCAAAGGCATCTGGATGTGGTGCCGTCCTCATCCCCAGAAGCAGGGCTGCACACTGGTGCTGCTGGACACAGAGGGGTTGGGTGACGTTGGGAAGGTGAGTAGGGGAGATGATGACCATGCACAGGGAGTGGCGCTGGGACCAGTATCCTCAAATGGAGCCTTGTGAACAGATATAATAATCCGGTGGCACCGGTAGTGCCTGATTATGTGCCTTGTGAACAGATATAATAATCCGGTGGTACCGGTAGTGCCTGAGTATGTGTACAGTGGTGTCTCGCAAGACGAATGCCTCACCAGACGAAAAACCCGCAAGACGAATTTTTTTGCGATCATGTTGGTAACTCGCAAGACAGCTTCTTCTATGGCCGTGCTTCGCAAGATGATTTTCCCCCGCAAGACCGATGCCTCGCAAGACAAAAAATAATTCATTCATCTTGCGAGGTTTCCCATAGGAATACATTGCAATGCATTCCTATGGGAAACCGCTTTTCGCAAGACGAAAATTTTGCAAGACGGTGCTACTTGCAGAACGAATTACTTTCATCTTGCGAGGCACCGCTGTACATCGATAGGCTTGTGGGTTATGTGACATCAGTGTGGTCTTCCATCATTCCTGTAGCTGAAGCTGCTGAGAACTGGAGTCTTGCAAACTCTAGAGAGCTTGACAACGAGAGCTTGATTTCACAAATGAAATTGGGTTTATATTTGAATTGAACTTTGAAATTCTCAGGTTTCTTTGTTCCTGTTTTGCTACTAACCATTTTACAGGAACTAGAAGAGGCTGAGTGGTGGTAGCAGAGCAGGTACATGCCAAACTAAAATAAGCAACCATGTTCTGTGCTGGGGTGGGAATTGTTCACAAATAGTGGAAATACTCACAACTGTAGCCAAACATTAAATCTTCCAAATTCACCCCGAGGTGGCATGTGATTTGCATTTAATTCAGATCGCTCCTTCAGCCAGAACAACACCCTAAGGAATGTGTTTGGCTTTATATTTACAGATCCCAGATAAACAATTTACAGGGGTGCGGGAAAGAGACCTTAGGGAGATTTCTGGTGGGTTTGGTTTGGAATGTGAGAGCTTTAAAGTTCCTGTCTCTCTTTCAGGCAAACACACAGAATGATTCCTGGATCTTTGCACTGGCCATTTTGCTGAGCAGCACCTTCGTATATAATAGCATGGGTACCATTGATGAAAATGCTTTGGAGAAGCTGCAGTATCCTTCCTGGGCAACAGAATTTACAACTAGTCCAATTTGGGTAGATTGGTGTAATGGACAGCGGGTATATAGGTGGCTATCTTAAGTGGCACTTAAAGAGAGACAGAACTTTAAATGTAAGATTAAGTGGGCAATCAGGCAAACATATAGCACAGTACTATTTGGTTTACTTTTGGTGTGGTTTGGTTCACCCTATTTTTTGGTGATCATGTGTTTTAAGTAAGAGCAATCTATCCCTTTTGTGAGCTGTTCCTCTCCTTTCTGGCACAGCACTAGGGGTACACTTTATTTGGTGTAATTAGGAACCCTCCTGATTATCCCATTTTGCAGTTGTGCAGTTGCTTAATTCTCTATCAAATAGCGCAGTGTCCTCTTTGGTGATAACCCTGTGATTTATGCAGTGGGTTGTGATGGTAGAAGGGATGGTGAAGAAACCCTCTCCTCTACTTTCTTTACAGTTTTAAAAACCTGTTCTCCAAAAATGATGTGTCACTATTTGAGATATAACAAAGTATTGATATATAAGATTGATGTATTGCTGTAGCGCTATGTCACTTACTAAATTTAGCACATGGAATGACAGCCACAGCAAAAGATGGGGAAAGGGCAGGGGAGAGGCATCAGTAATTGAGAGGGGGAGAAATTGGAGTCAGCTGAAGCGCTGTCTGGATCCTTTTCACAGGAGAAGAAATAGCTCCCGTGTAAATGGAAGGATCACTCAAGTGCAGTATAAAATAGATTGCACTGCAAACAATAGTCTGTTAAACATGACCCAGATCACTCCAAATTCGCCTGTCTAGTCACACCCTCGGTAAGGAAAAATCCCCTTTCCTGACTACTGTGGATGATGGGCTACCTGAGAGAATGCCAAGTGAGGCATGGTAATATGAGTCCTTGGAAATGCAGGGCATCCATGGCTATGTCTCTTGCTAAGCAAGAAGTGGACGGGAACTCCAAAGGAAAAGCTTTCCACGTTTCTGTAGATGCTGCTGTACCTAAATCAAAATTGGGAGATGTGGTGAGCAAATTCCTCTTGACACCTGCTCAGAGGTGCCCTTCGGGCTAGTAGCCTTGGCCCACAAGATGGGCTCCAAAACAGCTTTGGCAAAGGTATGTTTCTGGAGCAGTTCAGATTGCAAGGCTCAACTATAGCATTCTCGTCCTTAACAATGCCCAGCTATGTTACTGAGCTGACCAAAAAAATTAGAACAAAATCTTCCCCCGTGCTTAGTCACGAGGACGAGGATTCTGCCGAATTTATCCGGTTCTTCCCGGCCTTCATCTGGGCCGTGCGGGATTTCACGTTGGCACTGGAAATCGACGGATGCCCAGTCAGCGACGATGGGTACCTGGAGAATGCCTTGAAACTGCAGAAAGGTGAGTAGAAAATAGAAATGGAACACGTATAATTAGAAAGAGAATCACTGTACTGTCTTACTTCCAAACAGATCCATTTGTGTGCTGTCTTGTCTTTTCCCTTAGTTCCAGTTTCCCCTTATTGATCTCGAAGGAGATAGCCAACGTTCCCTGCTTCGCAGGAGTATATTAAAGTACGTTCTGGGTGTAGCTGCCACTGATGGTGGTCCAGATGCACGGAGCATGGTTGAATGTCTCTAAACAATCCATTGTGCTGGAGCACTTCTCCGACTGCTTTTGGTGGGCTCCACCTTCCAATGGGAATGAATAAACAAACCAGGGATTGCCTACCATGAGATTCAATCAAAATTCCCTGCCTTGTCTTTCTGACTCAGCAAGCCAGATTCATGGAGCTGGAAGAGGCCTGTCGGTGCATCAGACCCAAATCTTTGCTCATTGCCTACCATGAGATTCAATCAAAATGCTCTGCCTTGTCTTTCTGACTCAGCAAGCCAGATTCATGGAGCTGGAAGAGGCCTGTCGGTCCATCAGATCCTTGCTCAATGCAGGAATCCAAGTTAAAGTGCATCTGACAGATGAGTGTCTAACTTCCTCTTGAATGCCTCCAGTGCTGGAGTGCTCCTCGCCACCCAAGATAATTGTTGTCCTGCTCTAACAGTTAGGAGGTTGATAATTGTTGTCCTGCTCTAACAGTTAGGTTTTTCGTGATATTCTACCAAAATCTGGCTTCCTGTAACTTGAGCCCATGATTTTGCCTGCTGCACTCTGGAAAGATTGAGGACACATCCTACCCCTTTTCTGTCTGGCAGCCTTTCAAGTACAGTGGTGCCTCGCTAGACAATGTTAATCTGTTCCGCGAAGATCGCTGTCTTGCGAAAATATTGTCTAGTGAAGCGCAGTTCCCCATTGGAATGCATTGAAATCTACTCAATGCATTCCAATGGGAAACTCGTCATCTAGCGAAAATCGCCCATAGAAAACATCGTTTTGTGAAGCGCGGTTCCCCATTGGAATGCATTGAAAGCTACTCAGTGCATTCCAATGGGGAAAAATCATCATCTAGCGAAAATCGCCCATAGGAAACCATCATTTTGCGAAGCACAACAGCAATCACAAAAAACCATTGTATAGTGAATTCATCGTCCTGCGAGGCAGTCGTCTAGCGAGGCACCACTGTATTTGAACAGTGCTATCCTGTCTCTTTTCTCAAGGCTAAACATGGCCAGTTCTTTTAGTCTTTCCTCCTAAGGCTTGGTTTCCAGTTCCCTGATCATCCATCTGAAGCTGTTCAGATTTGTGTGCCTCCTTCTTAAAATGAATGACCTGTTCTTGTGTAGCTTGTGCTAGCCGGCTTGGTTGAAACCAACAAGGATTTAGATATCATGATAAGCCAGGGTTGATCATCATCTAGCGAAAATCGCCCATAGGAAACCATCATTTTGCGAAGCACAACAGCAATCACAAAAAACCATTGTATAGTGAATTCATCGTCCTGCGAGGCAGTCGTCTAGCGAGGCACCACTGTATTTGAACAGTGCTATCCTGTCTCTTTTCTCAAGGCTAAACATGGCCAGTTCTTTTAGTCTTTCCTCCTAAGGCTTGGTTTCCAGTCCCCTAATCATCCATCTGAAGCTGTTCAGATTTGTCTGCCTCCTTCTTAAAATGAATGACCTGTTCTTGTGCTAGCCGGCCTGGTTGAAACCAACAAGGATTTAGATGTCACGATAAGCCAGGATTCTGTTTCAAATTTGTTGGTGGAGCAAAACCATCAAAATGTTCTCTTTCCCCCATTCTTCCTCAGGGGACACAGAGCAAGTCACGAAGAGCAACATGCCTCGTATCTGCATCCGCCATTTCTTTCCTTCCCGGAAATGTTTCACTTTTGACCGTCCAACTAATAGGAGGAATTTGTCTAGATTGGAGGAGCTGGAAGAAGATCAACTGGAGGAAGATTTCTTGGAACCCATGAACCGTTTCTGCCAACATGTCTGGGGGACATCCCGACCCAAGATGGTCCCAGGGGGACACGTGGTGACTGGATCAAGTAAGGAAAGTTCCTGAAAGGTTGAAGGTTATTTGCACGGGAGGGGGCATTAAGAAAAATGTGTCAACAGTGGAACATATTGGCACTCTTTATGCATTCAATGAGCTTTTTGGTCCTCTTCAGTACTTTTCTGTTACCTCTTTCACACTTGGAATAGAGTCTGAGATAGCTTTGTCAAGTCAAGAGTCTTCAGAAAGAAGATCTTGGATGGAAGAAACTTTTGTTCAGCCTTGCCAAGGAATATTATGACATCTTTGTGCATATTCTGGGCTCATTCAGTTCTACAGTGGTGCCTTGCTTGACAACGTTAATTCGTTCCAGCGAAATCGCTGTAGAGCGGAAACATCGTTAACCGAAATAAAAAAGCCAATTGAAATGCATTGAAAACCGTTCAATGCGTTCCAATGGGCTGAATACCGGCTTGTCCAGCAAAGATCCTCCATACGGCGGCCGTTTTCTGGTACCTATTAAGCGAAAAATCAGTCCTAAAAACAGCAGGGGGCCATTTTCTTCAGCTGGTGGCCATTTTGAAACCCGACGATCAGCTGTTTGCTGATCATTGTAAAGCGAAAATTGGTTCCCGAAGCAGGGAACCGATCATTGTGAAATGAAAAAACCCCATTTAAACCATTGTTTTGCGATCGCAAAAGCAATCACAAAAACGTCAACGTTAAGTGGATTCATCGTACAGCGGGGTAATCATCCAGCGGGGCACGACTGTATTTTTCAAGGAAAACTAGTCTGCAGATATGCATAATGCGGGCCTGGCTTGCTTGCTGATGTAGACAAACATTTAAAGGGCATCTGGGGAATAGAAGATTCTCTCTCTCAGTTGCAAATCGAAGTGTGCCTTCTTGTTCTACAATCTATCATCCTCTGACTTCACCAGTCCTTCTCTTTCCAGTGCTTGTGAACCTGATGAAGACCTACGTGGACGCTATCAACAACGGGCAGGTGCCCTGCCTGGAAAACGCGGTGGTGGCCCTTTCAAAAATTGAGAATTCAGCTGCTGTGTGTGAGGCCATCTCCTATTATGAAGAGCAGATGCAGAAGCACTTGAAATTGCCCACCAACACTGTCGAAGAACTGCTGGAGGTGCACAAAGTGTGTGAGAGGGAGGCTGTGGCTAAATTCATGGCCCAAGCCTTTCTGGACAACCTTAAAACGTATCAAGAGGAACTTCAGGTATTTCATTCTTGTGCCTCATTGACTGAAAAGGAGACAAATGGGGTGATCCAAAGACTTGTCTGAATCCTTCTCACAGGAGAGAAAAAAACATTGATCAGTGTTTATGGAAGGATTTTGCTCAAGTGAGGGATAAAACAGATTGCGGTAAAGGTGGGAACCTGTTAAGTATGAACCAGATTGCTCCAGTCTCCCCACTCTGGATGTACCCACGGTTTCAAACTGATTCAGATTTGTACTGTAAATGAGACAAAGCTTGCCACAGTAACAAGGGCAAGGAAAAAAGCATACTATTACAGTAGTGCCTCGCTAGACGATGATAATCTGTTCCACTGAAATCGCTGTTTAGCGAAATCATTGTCTAGCGAAAAGCATTTCCCCATTGGAATGCATTGAAACCTGTTTAATGCATTCCAATGGGGAAGTATTGTCGTTGTCTAGCGAAGATCGCCATAGGAAAGCCGCTTTGAGAACCGCCGATCAGCTGTTTAAATCACTGTCTTGCGAAGCTTTGGTCCCGAAAACACCTGTTTGCGAGCGTGGAGGGAGCTGTCAAAATTGTTGTCCAGCAAAAATCGGTTTGCAAAGCAGGGACCAAACATTGTCCAGTGAAATTCCCCCATAGGAATCACTGTTTTGCGAATCACTATAGCAATCCCAAAAAGTCAATGTCTAGCGAAAAAACTGTCATGCGGGGTAACTGTCTAGCGAGGCACCACTGTACACAGTGCATTTCTGATGCCTGGATTTGTTTTGTCTTGGTAGGAAAAACTGAATCAGAAGTTGGAGGAGTTCTGCCAGAAGAATAAGGAAATTTCTCTCGACCGGTGCCGTGCTGTACTTTTGGATCTTTCTCAAGAACTGAAAGAGGGGGTCCACTTGGGATTATACTCTGTGCCCGGTGGCTACAAGAAGTTCATGGAGAAACGACATGAAATAGAGGAGAAATATCATTTGGTACCAGGCAAAGGAATTCAGGTTGGGCAGTCTGACTAGTTCTTAAGCTTTGAGTCAATACATGATGATATAACTGAATTGCTATTTTCCACTTTGCAAGCATGTTGGGTTGGGCTGATTTTTCACATAAAGTCATTCATCAGCTTAAAGCTTTTCATGTCAACTCCTCCATACATTCCATTGATTGTAGTCTGTTGTGAACCGCCCGGAGGGGCCTTTGGCCAATTAGGGGGGGGGTGTATACAGAATGAATGAATGAATGAATGAATGAATGAATGAATGAATGAATGAATGAATGAACAGGGCTACTCTAGTTGCAACTTATTATTGGATTTTAGTCATTCAGGCCCAATTCGAAGCTTCAGAGGTGCTGGGGAAAATTACAGCAGTCCGAAAGTACTGTTCACAAAGCCCTCTGCATGCATATTGATCTGCAGGGAGTAGCTGACCCCTAGTGATTGTTCACACATGACAACAAGGGGAACACGGGATGGGAGGAAGTATGAGTCAAAGGAGGAGCTGTTGGATAATCTTTCCCTGGAGCTAAAAATAAACAATATTTGTTTGAAATGTGTTCCTGAAGGAGAGCTTTGTGAATACCCTGGGTTGGCAGAAAGATTAAGAAGTGGGTTACATAAATCAATTCAAGCCTAAACGCTCTCTAGAATGTAAAATGTTGAAACTGAGACTGTTTTGTTTTGTGAGAAGGAAGGATTGTCTGGAGAAGACAATCTCTCTGTCTCCTCAAAGGCTTGAATCTGCAGGAGCTGAGCTGAGCTTTTGAGGGAGATCTGTGATTTCGCTGGGTTGCCATGAGTCAGAAGCAGCTGGACGCCACACAACAGCGTATATGTATATCAAACTTGAGTTTTGGTTGCTGATATGATTTTACAGTTGGTTTCTTCGTCTTCAGGTTTCATTAATCTCTTTTGTTTCCGATCCTTTGTCAGGCTGAAGAAGCTCTCAGAGAGTTCCTGAAATCCAAGGAATCGGAAGCAAATGCTATCTTGCAAATGGACAAGACTCTGAGCGATAAAGAGAAAGAAATTGAAGGTGCAGATCTGCTCAAACAGACCTCACGTTTTACAAATGATACTGACCTCCGATTACATGCTTCCCAAAACTTGGCAAAAGCTTTTTAAGCGGAACATAAATAATAAGGGTGCAGGCAACCTGAAGAATATGCCCAAGGTAGTGGTTCAAGGTCTGGACGTGTTGCCAAAGAACAGGCCTGTCTCTGTTAGACTTTCCGCTTTCTAGCCTTTGAGGTTGGTGGCATTTTGGAGCAAAGCCTGAAGAGAAGATGGTTGCGTTTGGGTAGATTCTTACTGGAGCAGTTGGCTGTTCTGTTCCATTCGTTTATAGGTCAGAAAATGTATCACATTCACATCTTAGAGAACCTTGCTGGGCTATATAACACTTCTGGACCTCTTTCAGCTGCAAGGTATTCAACCAGGGTATGAGAGTATGGGGAAATACATCATATTTTGGACCCTTTACATGATTTCCTTGCACCAAAGCTGTGTCGTTTTGGTTCAGCTGCAGCGCTTCTGCTTTTTAGGGCCAGGCAGGAGTGATTCCCCCATAGATGGGTTGCTTTGAGAGTGGTTCCTAAAAAGTGACCCTTTCTGGTGCAATCATAGGCACACCTTTCCTACTATCCAGTAACACCCTTAGTCTGCATTTAGCAAAAGTTGTCTTAGCTTGTGTGGACCATAAAAGGAAGGTACAGTCATGAACCGCTTGATGATTACCCCATTTAACGATGAATCCGCTTCACGATTATGTTTTTTGTGATCGCAAAAGTGATCGCAAAATGATGCTTGAATGGGTTTTTTCGCTTAGCGATGATTGGTTCCCTGCTTCGGGAACTGATTTTGCGCTAAATGATGTTTTTTCAACAGCTGATTGGCGGTTTTCAAAATGGTCACCGGCTCTCAAAATGGCCCCCTGCTGTTTTTAGGAGGCATTTTTCACAAGACAGGCACCGGAAAATGGCCGCCCTATGGAGGATCTTCGCTTTACGATGAGGTATTTCGCCCATTAGAATGCATTAGCCGGTTTCTAATGCATTCTAATGGGCTTTTTAATTTTGCTTGTCGAGGATTTCGCTTAACAGTGATTTCAACGGCATGGATTATCCTCGTCAAGCGAGGCGCCACTGTATGGGGAGATCTTTCTGAAATTGGTATTAAAATCATTATATATAGTTGGCCCTTCCTGTCGTTCACGTTGCTTTCATTCTAGACTGCTAGCAGGTAAGGTTGGCTCTTTGTTTCCTTTTCTCCCCAGCCCACCGGGCTCAAGCTGAAGCAGCCCAAATGCAGCAGAAGATGTTAGAACAGGAACAGATCCGGCTGAAGCAAATGATGGAGGATCAGAAGCGCAGCCATGATGAGCAGTGCCAGCTGCTGAGGGAGCACATGGAGAAAGAGAAGAAGAAGATGGAAGAGGAAACTGATCGGATATTGCAGCATAAGCTACAGGTAATGAGCACTCAGCCAGGTGTCCATACACTTGGATGCCGTACTATGCATAAATTTTGAGTAGCTGTTGACACTCACTTCTCAGCTAAATCTAGCCTAGAGAAAGCCACCAGTGATTCTCCATTCACTAGAAATCTTGTAAATGACATTCTCACAATGTCCATGACCTCTTAGTTCAGGGAGCATAATTTCACAAGATCTAGAAACAGAATTGTATTTCATAGTAATTGAGATTTTGGTAAACTGAGCACAGGATGTTTCATTACATTTTCATGATTTGTACAAAAGCTACTTAGGATTGTAACTGTGATCATCAGCGCTTGGTGGCGAATGCGGTGTAGGCATTCTGGTCTGAAGCTGGCCTGTTTATGTCCCGTGTTGACGTAGACTGGTGCCAGTCCCTAACAAATGGTTCCAACAGTCTTGGTCCTGCGCTTGCTTTTTCCAGGAAGAAAAGAAGCTTCTGGAAGAAGGGTTTTATCAGAAGGCCAGACAGATGGAAGCTGAAATTCAACAGCTCAAGGAAGAAAAGAAGAATATATTTGTGGAAATCGCTGACAAAGTGTTGCCCCATGCAGTAGCTTTCGGAAGCCAGCTGATGGAGTATAAGTTGAAGTCTCGTCACTTCAACACACAACTACCCAAAAAGTAGTGTCACCGTGGCATTGGGTTACCATATCACATCCTGGGTGCCATGTTTGAATCCCTCTAGACCTTCCTGAAATGGCGATGGAGATGTAACTGTGAAAATATGTAAAAAGGGGTGGGTGCGCGCACATCTCTCCCTCTGTCGTATAAAGAAAGCCTTCCTTTGCATGTCTAGTTCTGACCCTGTGCTTAACAAAAGCGAACATATTGCTGAGCAGAAAGAAATGCCTCTCTTTTAGCTTCTGTTTTGAGCCCGGGGCTTTATCCTTAAAAATCACTTAGTATCAAAATATTCATTTTGCATTCCAGACGCCTGCATGGTGTTTTGTTTTAATTGTGTGTATGTGCACGTATGTGTTTGTATATCAATCCTTTGCCTTATTAGTATTATGGAATCATAGAAAAGGGAAGTTGGAAGGGGTCTGTGAGACCATCAAGTCCATCCCCTTCTCAAGTCAAGAATACCATCCAAGCAGATCTGCCCGGTGATGTTCTAAAGTCCAACCCCCTGCTCAGGGCAGGAACACCATCCAAGCAGATCTGCCCGGGGATGTTCTAGGTTTCAGGGGGAAATATTCTCATGCCTTAGGACCAACCACAGAACCCCTCATGGTTAGGGGAGTGGGAAAATATCTCAGGGTGCAATCCGAGGAAGAAATAGCGCCCATTTGGGATCGTTTGTGGGCCACTCCAGTGTGAATGATTTCCTGGCGATCACACAATGCACAAGAAATTGTGAACCAGCCTGGCCCTGAGTGCCCAAGATGGATCGGGAGTGGGAAAATATCTCAGGGTGCAATCCAAAGAAGAAATAGCGCCCATTTGGGATCATTTGTGGGCCACTCCAGTGTGAACAGTTTTCTGGCGATCACACAATGCACAGGAAATTGTGAACCAGCCTAACTCTGAGTGCCCAAGATGGATCTTTTTGGTCCAGCAGCAGAGTTTCTCTTTTTGGAAGGAGTGATCCCTGCACTGACAGAAAGGTCACTGTAAGGGAGATTGCGCTCAGCAAAGCAGCCCTTTCACATATGATGGGGCTCAATCCTTTCTTGCTGTCTGATTACACTCGTGGTTGGTTTTGACCTTTTCAAATCCTCACTGTTTTGGGACAAGGCTATCTGAAGGACTGTCTGGACTCGAATATCTGGTCTTCATCAGTCTGAGAGTCTCAGTTTGAACACCTGGTTCTGAGCTCAGTTAAATTCACAGACACCAGATAACAGGATATTCCATAACAATTTTGTATTTTCAGAATTCTGACCTCTCACTATTGGCCTTCCATAGTTCCAGTTTTCAAATGGATTCTGGTAATCCATTTGGTCTGAGTTGCATGTAATTAAGATGCATTGCTGAATATATTAAAGATCTTGTCACAAGTGTGTTATTAAACTGGCATGTTATATTGCTCATTTTGCTTGTGCAGCCCATTTTTTTAACAATAGGGTAGCGATAGCTAGGATAGACCTGTTGAAATCAGCAGAATGTAGAGCATGTCTACACTGGCTGTTTTGGAGCAAGCTGGTGCAAGCTAAATAGAGTCACTCCGGGTTGCAGGGAGATGTAATATGCTGTTTGGTGCGATCCTCGCATCCAAATGTCATATTGGAGCTCAGGAGAGACTACTTGGTCTGTCTCCTTCCAATATCGTGAAGCGGCTTAATTAAGCGAGTCGCTTTGCGACACTGACAAATGGAACACTTCCTCTGCTCCTTGGCAGAGGGGTGGGGAAAGTGAAAAAAATACCGTATTTTTTGTTCAATAAGACGCACCTTTCCATAAGACGCATCAATTTTTTAGGAGAAGAAAACAGGAAAATATAATCTGTTTTCTTCAATCTATAAGATGCACAGACTTTCTACCCCCCTGTTTTGTGGGAAAAAAGTGCGTCTTATGGTGCAAAAAATACGGTAAATAAATACTCTGATAGAATCCAGCTGAAACAGCACATCACTTAAAAACATAATATATCTTATTTGGTTTGTCTGGAGGGCCAGTTGAGAAAACTACCTGCACCCGTGGTAGTTCAATACATAATACAGTACAATAACCATAACTTCTATTGAACAGTGACCTAGACCAGTCGTTCTCAAACTTGGGTACCCAGATGTTCTTGGGACTGCAATTAAGAGAAATCCTGGCCAATACAGCAAGTGGTGAATGGCAGTCCAAAAACATCTGGGGACCCCAGTTTGAGAACGACTAACTTAGACAATGTATACTAAAAATTAAACACAAGGTATAACAGTGAAACCATATTGAAGCCATGTTCCCTTATTAATAAAGGGAAAAAAGGAATTAACAGAGTGACTGCAATGCATATATGAGAAAGTGATAGTAAAGTTTAGTCTAAAAAAGTTGTTCCATGTGCCATGGTGTGTACTGGAGATTTTCTGTGCAATATATGAAATGAAAGAAAACCATGTCTCATCAAAGTCATGATTTGTTTTATGTACACTTGCCTGGAGGATTTTGTGGGTTAATTCCTGTGCCAAAGCAATGCCACATACACATCGATACCAACGGTTTATGGTTCAGTTCTTTCTGTTCAGCCGACATCTGTCTAACTGTCACGATCAGGAAGGATTTGGGCCATTTTCATTATCATTTTCCAAAAGGTTAAGTAATATCAAAAGAAGATTGAGGCCGGCTGTTGGTTTGCAATAATGGATATTACATTGTTCCCAAATTTTCTAAATTTGGTGATATAGCCACCATGTGTGCATGTGTGCCGATCTCCCCACATCCCCTCCGACACAATTTAGTGGATCCCTCCCCATTGATATGGGTCAATTTAAGAGGCATTAGATACCACCTGTAAATAATTTTTAAAGTAGCCTCCCTCAAGTTTCCTGAGACAGACAATGGTCTTTGTATCCATTTTAGCATTTATGCGCCACTAAGCATGGTACATTATATGCCTCTGGAAATCAAATTCTTTTCCCAGTCAAAGCGACCCTCGCTTTTCTCTTACCTGTGCAGCCGACACACGCAGAGTTCCAAATTATTAATAATTACTGTTCCTGGAAACAGGGTGTTATATGTAAAATGAACATATTGCATACTGTATTTTTATTCAATGTAATCTGGTTGGTGACAGGCCATTTTAGAGTAAGGAAGAAATAGAAAAAGGCAGAAAAGCTGCTGTCCTGCACTGCCCTCATGTGGGCACAATCCAGGATGGTGCTTGGCTGCACATAGCTGTGAACTGGGTCTGGAGGTTGGGATGTTGTCTTGTTGTTTAGTCATTAAGTCGTGTCCGACTCTTCATGACCCCATGGACCAGAGCATGCCAGGCCCTCCTGTCTTCCACGGCCTCCCGGAGTTGGGTCAAATTCATGTTGGTTGCTTTGGTGACACTTGCCTAATTATCTCGTCCTCTGTCGTCCCCTTCTCCTCTTGCCTTCACACTTTCCCAACATCAGGGTCTTTTCCAGGGAGTCTTCTCTTCTCATGAGATGGCCAAAGTACTGTAGCGTCAGCTTCAGGAACTGTCCTCCCAGTGAGCACTCAGGGTTGATTTCCTTCAAAATTGATAGGTTGATGTTGTCTTAGGAAGATCTAAAATGGTTGCCACCTACATTGTTCCAGCTGCTGGATCTTTCTACAGTTCTGTCTTCTTTCTTTGGGGCAGACTATTTCCTGGGGTTTCTTAAATAAATTCAGTCTTGATATATGTTGGTATAAAATATCAGCCTTGAGAGAGACTCATAAATAAACAGCTCTATTAAAATTAAGAGACAGCCTGCATGCGAGAACGTTCAGAGTCAGTTTATCTCAATTTTTCGGAGCCTGTTGCAAGCATATCAGACTCATTTATGGCCTTTAGGGGTGTCTCTCTCTCTGTGAGTCTTCCAGAATTCCCACTGATGCAAAGGCATGCCTAGAAGATGGAGGAATACCAGCTAGAATACTGGTTGGCACAGAGGTGTTTCTGTGTTCCTAATGGTGAGGCAGCCTTTGCAAACTGCTAGGAGCTTTATTAATCCGGTGCAAGGCTGCTCCGACATGACAGGGCAGTAGTCCGCAGCATCAGTGTCTTAGCAAGAGCTAGATTTAAGTGTGGCTGCCACACATGGTGGACCACTGACCTGCAGCTAGCATCGTCTTGAGTGAAGCCCAGACCTGGAAAAAATTAATTAGAAATAGCCTGCCATGAGCGTTGGTGTACAGTGGTGCCTCGCTAGACGATTACCTTGCAAAGGGGTTTATTCGCAAGACGATGAAGTGCCTCGCTAGACGATTACCTCGCAAAGCGGTTTATTCGCAAGACGATAAATTTTTGCAATCGCTATAGAGCTTCACAAAACGGTTTTCCCTATGGATGATTTTCGCTGGACGATGTTTCGGTCCATGCTTCGCAAGACTTTTTTTTCGGGACCGATTTTTGCAAGACAGCGATTTTGACAGCTGATCTGCGCTTCGCGGTTGTCCTATGGGCGATTTTCGCAAAACGAAATAGATTTCAATGCATTCCAATTGGGAACCGCATTTTCGCAAGATGATGTTTTCACAAAACAGCAATTTTCGCGGAACGAATTAACATCGTCTTGCGAGACACCACTGTAGCAGATTCAGTGCTTGCAGCATTGATGGGTTGGAACTTTACAGGTATAAGGAGGGTTGTTTTGTTTGTTTTTTGGGAATGAATTTGTAACTAAGTGACATTTTTAAATTTTTTTAGCACAAACACTTTATTTCTGGCATCAGTCACATTTTCTATTACTTCCCTACTGCCTCCTGGCATTGCTTTATGTTTTTAAATGATAATAATAATTGCAATGTGTCATCATGTCAATTTCCGAGTTATGGTAACTATTTTCAGGTACAGAGTACTCCGAGGTGGTTTACCTTTCCCTTCTTCTGGGGGCACCCTGGGACTGTCCAGCTTGACCGAGGCTATACAGGCTGGATCTTCTCTTCAGGAGGAACAGTGGGGAATTGAACAACCAACCTCTGGGTAGTGTGGGCTGCAAATAAACAAACAAACAAACAAACAAACAAACAAACAAACAAACAAACAAACCTCTAACTTACTGAGCTACCCAGGCAGCATGTTTTAAAAATAAAGCACCACGATGTTCATCAGAAGAGCTGTTTCTCATGACCTGTTGCTGCAGCACACTCTACATAGCTTGCAACACTACAGCAGCTCTTAGAGGTAAC